AGCCGCCAACGACCCCCCACACCACACTCGTCCCCTATAGAATAATTATCGAACACGTCTTTCCTTTCTCTTCGAGACGGTGAGGGGGGGGGGGGGACGGCAATGTGCGTCGGAAATAGTAGGGAAAGGTGTACATTTCTCAAGAGTGTTGCGGCGAGGTGTAGGGGGGAGGGGGTTGAGGGGCCACAGTAGATGAGTGGCAGAGGGGGAAGAAGAGACCATAAGCGCGCGCGCGCGGCGCGTGGCCAAAGCGAACGCCAGCCGCGTTGGGTCAGGGCAGAAGGGCCTAAACGGGAACAGCCTGGCAGAGCAGCAGCAGCGTGGGCCGGCCGGCACTTCAGCGATAAAGTTGTGGCCGTGGGGGCGGGGGGGTGAATGGAATGGCGCACATGCTCGCACGTGTCCTAGATTGACACGGAGGCAAGGGTAGGGGGGTAGAGAGGACATGGCAACCGGAATGGCAAGACGCGCGGTTCCCGGAGAGAGGAGGGGTGAGGGGGGGGACACCTGGCCACTTGTCAATTTCGGGCACTGACAGAGAGAGAGAGGAGGAGGGGTGAGGGGGGGGGGTCCTCGCGGTCGGCCATGGTCCATTAACTCGCGGCCGCGGCGCGCGCGGGGCGCTAGAGGCTCATGGGGTGCGGGCGGGGCGGAGCGGGGGCGGCGGGCCAGATCAGATACCCTGGCCGTAGTGACGCGGGGCGGCGTGTGGAGCGGCGGCAGCGCAGCGGTGCCTCGGCGGGGCCGGGCGCGCGCCCGCACCCCGCCGCTCCCCGTCGCCGTCGAGATAAGCCGGACCCAGGTGATGTTCACGTCGACAAGTGTCCCCCCCCTTTCTTCCCTGCTCCCATTGTCCCCGCGGCCGCGCGCGTGGAGGGTGGCGGCGGTGCCGCGGACAAAAAGCTCGAAGCGGGTTTAGAACGGGAAAAAATAAATAATAATAAAAAACGTTAACGCTAACGCTAACGTGGAAGCAGATGACTTTTGGCGATTGGCGTTGAGTTTTTACTATCAACTCAAGGCGCGGCAGAAGCGGTGAGGCGCGACGGGGCACAGCGGCAGCTAGGCGTGGCTTTGAACGCGGCTTTGAACGCTTTGAGCGTGGCGTGTAGCGGCGATCGTGGTGTGGTGAGCATGGCGCGGCGAGCACGGCGCGGCGAGCGTGGCGTGGCGAGCGTGGCGCGGCGAGCGTGGCGCGGCGAGCGTGGCGCGGCG